CAGTAATACTCTGATAAACTCCATTAGCCTCATCATGGTCCGACAGAGCAGTTAACTGGAGCTTAAACTCTGAGTTAATGAGGTTAAATGCAGTTACTTCTCACCTGCTGTTGGTGTGACGCAGGCCATATCTAAATCCATAGTTCTATAATGAAGCATGTTTAACAACGTAAACCACTATACCTGTGAAAACTGTCATAAACATTACTATTTTGAAATGATTCCAGCCAAACAATGAACAATTACATTTCTTTACATGGCTGTATACTGTTTTTCGCTTTTTATATACAGTATGTGTGTAGTATAAAAATGTCACCAGAAAGGTCCGATACAGAGACCGCTTCACTGCACACGCTGCATCGATCCGTTTGTCAATCTCACGCTCCATCCCTCCCTTTTGAACAAGACCGGAGGCAGCTTTTTCCGGTCGAGGATCATGGGCTCGGATCTGGAGGTGCTGATTCTCTGCCACAAACCGTCCCAGTGCATGCCGAAGGTCCTGCAACATTGCCTGCAAACAGCAAAAATGAGATTCTGTGGTCCCCAAATTGGACTTCCTTTGACCTGTGGCTGCAGTGGGAAAATGTCCATACAAACAGTGAACAGAACCAGTGACAAACTCAGCAACAGTCTAAGCAAAGACGCTCAGACTTCCCCATCCACACCACACCCAAAATTAAACAGGTCAAAAATCATCTACAAAAATGTCTTGCCATGTCACACACAGACACATGGAGAACAGAACCCAGGACAGAAAGTGTGCAGAAGCATGTACCAACCTGGTAATTTCCTGTATTTTGTTTCACTTTTAATGTAATCATCTTACATTAAGAAAATAGGGCGTACCATTGTATAGTATAACTTTCCAGGCCACTAGTGACGCAACACTTTTGACACCAGAAATGTCTGTTTTTGGTCCTCATTTTACAGCCTCTGTCCTGAATCTACAGCTCGTCTGTCCGTGGATGTGGATCCCTCGCTCACTTTTTCCCATTGGGTTTCAGAGTTGTTCCTTGCCGATGCAGAAGGTTCCAAAGACATTAGTGATGAACCAGGACATTTAAGGACATATATCAACATTCATGGACATTGGTCATCTGCCCCCTCTGGACAAATGGGTTCTCTGTGTTTGTTATTGTTGCATTGTGTCTTCTGATTCTCTGATGTGTCTCTGTGTTGGCGAATCATCAACTTTGTAAAATCCTCTGCGATGACTACTATTGTGATTTAGGGCAATACATAAATTGAGGTTGTAATTTTAAGGTGACACTTTTAAATTATTCATCAATCTTCTTATATCTGCTTTCATTATGCAATTATAATCCCTGTTCTTTATGTTTGAGTAGTGTGCAAGTGGCACAAATGCACCAAAGTAATACGATTATTGCCGGGTGATTTTAATAACCAATTACATTAAGTCAGCAGGTGATCTTTGAAGTGTGTTGCATAAGAGGCTCTGATCTGTGTACTGTACAGGCCAGATCATGAATTATTCTGTCCCTCAAAGACAATATGAGGCTGAGAAGAGGCCTGGTCCACGGAAGCAGATACTTGGGAAACCAGAATCCAAAGCAAAAGCCAAAGTCCAGACTCACACCAATGACAAATTCATGGGGGATTTGCAAGTTTTCCACTCAATCGAAATAATGACGGCTTTGAATAAACCAGGCCCAGACTCAGTGACTGATTTACTTTCCATTAACCAGCACACTCCATGTATAATCAATTGTATTAAGGGCTTCTCTTCAAATGTGTTTTATGTCTTTTCCGTGATGCTATGTCTTGGTAATTTCAAATCAAATTCTCAAGTGAAGCCAATTGTACACAACAAACTTGCATGTCATCAAGACCTTTCAATAATTTGTTGAGGGTGAATTGTTTATTTTGTAAATGTTTTCTTATGATGTTTTAAGCAGGAGAACTTAAAACCAGATAAATTAAATAAATAGACAAAGTTAAAAAGCTATAATAGTTTGAAAGTAACGCCAATCTTTGTGCTTAAAGATCTTAGCTGCAATATAACGTTGAAATTACGCTTACTGCAAACATAACCAATATACACATATTTTTCTAATAGTGATGGCTGTGACTGTTTATGTATTAGCAGTATAAGAATATGGACAAAAAGTGATGAGTGAATTTTCAGTGAGTGTTCATTTTTTAATGAGTGAGTGAGTGAATGGATGGTGGAGTAATTATCTGAACAATTGTAAAGCACTTTTGGTGACCTTGGTCTCTAAAATGCGCTATATAAATAATAATAATAATAATAAATTGGTTTTATATAGCACTTTTTTTGATACTCAAAGACGTTTTACATGTCATTATTCTTTCACTCCATGGTGAAAACTATCACTGTAGCCACAGCTGCCCTGGGGCACACTGACAGAAGCGAGGCAACCAGTATGTGCCATTGGCCCCTCTAACCACGACCAACCATTCACACACACACCAGACTCATAGGCAATGTGGCAATGTCATGCCTAAGGACTCCATGGCAGTTTGGCAATTTACAGTCGTAGCCGCCCCACTGTTGCACCTGGTGTTCCCAGAGGTTAAGTGTCTTGCCAAGGACACAACAACAGCAGACATCAGTGGGAGTCGAATCTTTTCATAATTTTACCTATTTTACCTGTCTGATGTGTTTTTTTATTTGTCTCTGTGTGTGTGTGTGTGTTCGTGCGTGTGTGTGTTTGTGTGTGTGTGTGTGTGTGTGTGTGCGCGTCTACCGGTATATGCATCTCGATGTATATCTATTAATTAGGGTGGTTTATGGGTGGATCTTTGGGGTTTATTGGGTATGTTGTATTGATTTTGACTCAGAAGTAAAGCACTTTGTGTTGCATTTTATTGTATGAAAAGTGCTTTATAAATAAAGTTTGATTGATTGATTGATTGATTGTGGTGGGCTCAAACCCACGACCTTCAGGCCCAAAGATCAATGCTCTACCAACTGATAAATAAACCTTACTTACTTACTTACTTATTTTTATGACATAACAAAGACACAAAAGGCATGTTCTTTGTTTTTCTCCATTAGAAACACAGTGAGCAAGTTAACCTCAGGCCTGGACCCCACATGCCACCTCTGAGTTCAGCCTAGTGGTCACTTTAGCTTAAGTCATACTCACTTATGTGTGTATGACTGCTGTCTTCAAACGTTTATTTTTTCTAATGAAATTACAACTAAATATAAACAATAGTTTTGCACTGATGAAACCATATTATTTGGAAAACATAGACATGAAAGAACATTTTATGAAATTAAGTTGAGCCTATAGAGCGGATGACTTTATATACATTTTTTTCTCAACTTTTAAGTGTATTCTTGGATTTTGGAGTTATCATAATACATTTTCGGTTACATTGCAAACAGTTTTTTGCCAAGTTTACGACATGGTTGCTCTGTAATACCCATCTTGTCATTAAAAAGAAATGTATATACAAACGAATCAATAAAAACATGGCCAGACTGGGGAGAGATATGGAACATATTTGCAAAAGTCCTAATTGAAATAATTTTTATTGCATTTGATTAGTCACGTTTTAGGAACTTATGCTATCTGGTCCACTATCTGGTTATTGCTTTCTCACTGCCTTCTTTTTCCCAGTATGATGTAAAACTTGTGCATAAGCTGGTCAGGAGGGCCAGCTCCACTCTGGGCTGCCCCCTGGACTCTGTGGAGGAGGTGAGGGACAGGAGGGTGCTAGGCAAAGCCACCTCCATCATGGACAACGCCTCCCTCCCACTACACAGGACTGTAGAGGAGCTGAGGAGCTCCTTCAGTGGAAGGCTGAGGCACCCTCAGTGTAAGAAGGGGCGCTACCGCAGGGCCTTTATCCCCACCGCTGTCAGACTGTACAACAAGTCACTTTAAGTCACTGCATTATGACTGAAAAAAAACCTGCACTACTATTGACACTTTTTTTGATTGCCACTTTCTTATTGACACTTTTTTGTACATAATATGTCCTTCATATATGTCCACGGGCAGCACGGTGGCTGAGTGGATAGCACTCTCGCTTCTCAGCAATAAGGTCCTGGCTGCGCCAGTGTGTTGGCGACTTGTTTCCGTCATCACCGTGTGTGGAATGATCAAAATACGCTATATAAATAAACATTACTGACTTCATGTTCTTACTTTTTGCACAATTCTTGAGTGTTCCTATTCTTGCCAATGTGACATGTTCCTGTGTGAGATTAATAAAGTACATCTTATCTTATAATTTATAAGTATAGGTGATTTTCATACTCATAATTCTTTATAATATTAATAATGCATCGGTTTTAATATATTTCTTATTTACACTGTCAAAGGTGCTACACATGGCCCTATTCAAGAATTACTTTTGTGTGTAATGAAAATAAATATAGAATTATGTATGGAGGAAAGGGGGGGGGTATACACTTTTAGCGTAGATTTACACTCTAAGCGTTTTGCACGTTTTGGGGTTTACTGATATTGTATTTTTTTATATTTTTTTGTGAATGGACTGTTCACATGGATCTATGATGCGACTGTTATTATAATAGATCCATGGACTGTTCACCTATCTATCTTGTTCGTCTACGTTGAATCCGTCCCTCTCCTAAATAATCTACTCGCGCCCTCTGCTGGTTATGTGCAATAATGCAACTGGTTCTCTCCACTCGGACTTTCTATGACTCGAACTCGGCGTTTCTATATTTGGTCGAAGTTAAATTTAAAAACGTATATTCATTGCTGTTAGAAATATAAGTAATATAAATTTACCTTTTATATTTATTTTTATGCGAGACAACAAAACAAAAAACAAAACAAAGGCGGAGCCGGAAACGCGCGCGGTCAGCTGACTCCAGGTCACGTGATGTTTACAAGCGGTGGAGTCGAGCGTCCTCCACTGTCCCCGGCCAGAGCTCACAGAAACAGCCCGGGATCCACGCCTCTCCTCTCCCCCGTGTCCCACTCACACATTTAACAATGGCCTGGACAAATTACCAGCTGTTTTTAGCCGGTCTCATGCTGACGACCGGCTCCATTAACACATTATCCGCGAAGTAAGTGCATTTTTTCTCACCGTGTTTACAACCACGAGCCATGCTTTAGTTGTTAAATTCAATGTTAGCCCCACGAACGCTAGCTCCAAGCTCTAACTCGTACTGAATAACATCGCTGGCCAGTCACCAAGATAACGAAGTTGCTATCTGTACCAAAATAATCTAATCGTTACTGCAAAACTAGGAGCTTGGATCTATTACGAGTCACATGCATGTATTTTGGCCTTTGTCGTTTCACCTGTATCAGACTCACAGGGTTCTCTTTTTTTCAAGTTTTCCAATTAGATGAAGATTGCATTTGTGGTCTGATATGTTTTTTCTTTTTTACTTGACTCTTTCTGCTGGGACAAACACAATGCATTATTATTTCAAATATAGTTTAAAATATTAAGAGCTTTAATTCCATCAACACACACCGTAATTTGTCAGATTTGTGTGAATTTGAGTTTCCTCAACTAAAATGCATGTATGATTTCATCCAGTAAAACCTGATTTATTTGGGTTGGGTTTAAGTAGTTAAGATTAATCGATATGCATTGGTTATACTCTCTGAATATATAATATGATTCCTTATTCATAAAAAGACTTTCCACAAACTCATTCATGTTCAGTAAACAACATGCAAACATCTGGGAATGCATGTCGGTTTGCGTCAATATTGTCAATCCTGTCTGGTCAATTTTCACTTTTGCTTTTTGAAATGATAAGTCTTAAGTATTTCCATTGTTTTTTCCCCCCATCCATGCCTTACATGGAAAGGCAACAAATATTGCACATGTTGTCTTAAGTAGTCAACTAACAAAGTACATGGTCATTTTTACCCCCAAACTTCGGACTGTCACAATAGTTACCACATCAAATTTGTTTTTCAATAACTAATGGATAAACTATGCTGTACATTGACTTTCATGGATAAGCATTTCTGAATTCCATTGTTAAAATTGAAAACAAATTAGAAATGTTCTCATGGATTCTTTGGCTGTATTGTAATTGCACCAGTGTCTGTCTATTCAATATTAATATGTATTGCACTATATATTGTTAATTAATTATTTTATCGTGACTGGCCTACCGCCACTCAATAAGTCGTCACAAAAATGAAACAGATATACAGCAGTTTTAACTTCTGCAATTATTTCAATTGTCAGTTTGGTCCTGGTCACGTGTGGTTTCAGACTGAAAGTTCACATCTTTGCAAAATACTCTGATGACTCCAGTACTAGTGCAAGTCCTGTCATGTCCCTCCATAGAAAATCTGTTCACGTTTCCGATTGGCTGGTCACTTAAAATCAGTTGTTTTTGCTTGTGACTGCTTGAGTTTCCAAAGTGATTTTTGGAGAAGCTGATTCATCACTTAGAAGAGCACATTCCCTTATGCAGCGTTCTGCGTCTCTGAGTCAGACCTGCTCACATGACCGCTGTCTATAAAAGTCTATTGAATTATGCAATGATGAGCACTTCACAAAGAAAGACATGTAGCCTTATTGAAATTAAGAATTGCATTTCCTATTAAATGGTCTATTATTATGCATAAATTCATATGTTCTTCTTACTGTTTTTTTACTGTGCTTTGCAACTCTGACATTTCCTAGCCGTTGAGTAAATATAGGTTTTCTTATCTTATCTTGTATATTCTAAAATCACATGTCCTGGACCTTAGATAAATTCTACAGACATACTGAAAGAGACAAAATGAATTTTTTTTAACAAACCATAGCTTGAAATACTCCACAATGAGTGTATATAAAATAACAGTTAAACATTATGCAAATATTGTTGACTTCGATGAGATGTCAGCTATTGTTTTGTTGTGTTTGTATTTTGCTGCTGGGAAGCACTTTGAACTGCATTTGTGTCTGAAAGATGCTATACAATTAAAGATACAATACAATTACAATACATCTCAGAGGACTTAACAAAACCATTGAAATCACCAACACAGGTCAGAGAATCAACAGTTAAAACACATGAAGAATATAAAGCACACACAGAAGAAAATGCCCATACATGTTGTAGAATGCTAAAGTGTCCTGATTATCACCAATCCTTTCTGTTGGACACTAACTGTCCAACAAGACCCTCCTGCATCGACAAGGAAAAACTCTTAAAAAACCCAGTGGGAAAAAGTGAGAAACCTTGGGGAGCACTAGGGAAACCCACAGGGAGGGAGACCCATATGAGAAAGGGATCCGCTCCTCCGGACGGACAGGCTAATGATCTAGGACCTAAGCTAGCTACAGGACGTGGACCAGTGGCCGCTGAACGTGGACAGGTCCGGTGCAGGACTGAAGAACTCCCAGGCGGGTCGGGCGGGGCAGTCCGCAGGTGTAGATGGAAGAGGCCAGGCTCAGAGATCCCGTCATCGTACCATGAAACAGACAATGGGACAACGGGTGAATAGCAATGAACAAACTACAGTCAGAATCCTAAAAGTGCTAAACAGATAAAGTAGATAAAGTAGGAAGGGGGAGAGGATAGTGCTCAAGTTACCATACTTCTCCCAGCAAACTGACTCCCTATGCAGCTTGACTGACACTCTGAGGAGTTTAGCCTTCCCCGAGTCTTACCTTCCTAACCATATGCTAAAATAAAGAGGACTGTTTTAAACCTAGCCTTGAATAAAGAGATTCATGGATTGTACACCAGGTGTGCAAACCGATCCAAGCAAACCTAATTATATATTATATATCATATACATCACATATACCATACATACCATATATATCATGTATAGTACACAACATAACATACAGCATAATATATAACATAATATACAACATAACACAATACATTATTGTATAATATATAACATGATATATAACATAATACAGCATATATATATATAATATATACACCATATATTATATATTACCTAATTATATGCTAAATTAAAGTAAAGTGCTTTAAGCCTGGCCTTGAATGTGGAGACTGTATCTGCTTCCTTAACATAAATGGGAAGCTGATTCCACAGTAAAGGAGCTTGGTAGCTAAATGCTCTGCCACCAACAGTGACCTTTGAGACCTTAGGGACCACCAGACGTCTGGCGTTTTGTGAGTGCAACGCTCGACTTGGTTGATACGACACTAACGTGTCTTGGAGATAAGAGGGAACCAAGCCATTTATGGCTTTATATGTTAAGAGAAGGATTTTAAACTTTATTCTGTACTCCACAGGGAGCCAGTGGAGTGATTTTAACACCGGAGTTATGTGCTCCCTCCTTTTGGTACCTGTTAAGATCCTAGCTGCTGTATTCTGAACGAGCTGGAAGCTCTTCAAAGAGGCTTTAGGGCACGCTGCCAGTAAAGCGTTACAGTAGTCGAGCCTTGAGGTGACAAACGCGTGAATGAGTTTTTCCGCGTCACTTTTAGGAAGGAAATTCCTAATTTTAGCGATGTTCCGTAAGTGGAAGTACGCCGTTTTAGTTGCTTGGCTTATATAAGCCTTGAAGGAGAGTTCTTGGTCAAAAATGACTCCAAGATTCCTCACAGTGTTACTGGGTATAATACTGACATTATCGAGAGTAATTATCTGGTTAGTGAGGGTGTCACGTAGGCGCTTCGGACCGAGTAGGATCACTTCTGTCTTCTCCGGGTTGAGAAGTAGGAAGTTAAGAGTCATCCACATTTTAAGGTCCTTTATGCAGGCACTGAGCTTTTCTAGCTGATCTGTCTGATTTGGCTTCATCGACAGATAAAGCTGTGTGTCATCTGCATAGCAGTGGAAATTAATTCCATGCTTTTTAATAATGTTTCCCAATGGCAGCATGTAGAGAGTAAAAAGAATCGGTCCGAGTACCGAACCCTGCGGCACACCGAATTCTACTCCAGAATAAGGTGACGAGTTCTGATTTACCAACACTGACACTTGTCCATTATCAGCAGCTAGTAGTAAGTCATTTGTGACTTTGACTAGTGCCGTTTCAGTGCTATGATGAGCTCTGAATCCTGATTGAAAGACTTCAAACATATTATTTTCCTGCAGGTGGCAGCGAAGCTGCTCAGCTATAAGTTTTTCCAGGATTTTAGATATAAATGTGAGGTTTGAGATCGGTCTGTAGTTTGTAAGTATTTCTGGGTCCAGGTTTGTTTTCTTCAGAAGGGGTTTGATTACAGCGGTTTTAAAAGCTTGTGGGACATAGCCACATTGTATGGATGCGTTTATTATATTTACGATAGGCTCAATTATCAAAGGAAGTATGTCTTTGAAGAGCCATGTCGGGACTGCGTCTAACATGCAAGTTGAGGCTTTTGAGGATGTGACGTATGCCGCTTCAACCTGTCCACCACTAACAGCAGGAGCAACCTCCTCCAGCTTGTTACGGATGGATGTAATTTTATTATTAAAGAAGTGGAGAAAGTTGACACTGCTCAGTGAGCTTGGAATTTTAGGCTCGATTGCGCTATGGCAGTTTGTGAGTTTAGCGACGGTGCTAAACAAAAATCTACTGTTATTTTTATTGGCTTCTATTAAAGTTGAATAGTATTGAGTTCGAGCCCCGCGAAGGGCCTTCTTGTAGTTTCGGAGACCTGCTTTCCACTCCCTGTGGACAGGCTCCGAGTGGGAGTGGCGATATAGCCTCTCCAATTTTCTGACGTCCTGTTTTAAAGTGTGGAGTTGAACACTGTACCAGGGCGACGATGATCTAATCCTAATAGTTTTCTGTTTTAAAGGAGCTGCTGCATTTAATGCAGATTTTAAAGACTCCATAGTGTTGCCCACCGTTTGGTCAATGACTGAGGGACTGCAGCAGCTGTGAACAGGTTCACCTGCAGCAGTATTCAACATAGGCTGTATTAGTTCTTTGAACCTTGTGATAGATTTATCATTTAAGCTTCTTTTCATTATGGTTTTATCTTGCGGGACAGGAAAGTCCTCCAAACCGAGATCAAACGTGATCAAGAAATGGTCAGACAGCAACGAGCTTTGACGCTGGAAGCGATTTAGACGAGATTGACCTGACGTTCATTAAACCACATTTAACAACCCTACTGTTAGAACTATTTCTGTCTGTCTGAACTTTTATTAAGTTACTGTGTCTGACACCCAGGTCAGATTTCCTCGCATATAGTGCTTTAGACTTCAAGCGAGGAACACACACAGTTTCAATCTGACTAGGTTCTGAGGCTAGTAACTGAGCACACACAGGCACACACACACATGCACACACAGTTTCAATCTGACTAGCCTCTGAGGCTAGTAACTGAACAGATGGGGGCTCAGAGGTTGTGGCAGAGCAGCTCTGCACCCGGGCCTCAGTTCTGCATCGTCATTTGAGCCGGGCAGAACAGTTTAGAGCCAGGTCCAAATTCTTAGCCAAAAGGGATGTACCCGCCAACGTTGGGTGGATATCATCCGAGCGGATGAGACCGGGCTTTCCCCAAAAGGCACTCCAATTGTCAACATGAACAACACCACTTCGAGGGCACCAGCCAGACAGCCAGCGGTTGAAAGCCGAGTGTCTGCTGAATGCTTCTGCACTGCTAGTGCTAGGTAGGGGCCCAGAGAAGATGACGGTGTCTGCCATTGTGCTAGCCAGCTTGCACACGGCGGCGACTTGCAGCTTCAACACCTCGGACTGTTTCCGCCGAACGTCATTACCACCCGCGTGAATAACAATTCGACGGAAACGCTGCTTGTGGGTCATCATGAGCCTCAGATTCCCTTCAATATCACCAAGCCTGGCCCCAGGGAAGCACCGAACAGTGGCTCCTGGGATCTTAACACCTCTAACAATAGAGGAGCCAATTACCAGCGCATCAGCGACTCCATCGGCTCTCTCAGCAGCTCTCTCAGCGGCTCTCTCAGTGGGGCCTTCTTCCCCGCCCGGCCGCGCGGGGGCGCAGCCGGACAGAGCGTCCCAGCGATTGTAAATGCTAACAGGAGGAGGCCCAATGGGGAAACTACCAACAACACGTCGCCCTCTCCGAACAGTCACAAAGCCATCACTATCCTGGTCTTGTCCCAGCTGCGGAGGACGGGCTGGGAGGCTAGGCTCGCTAGTTCTCCTCTGCCTTTCCCTAAAGCTGCGCTCCGCTGTCCCTGAGGATACGGCCTGGCTGTAGCTAATGCTAGCGCTAGCTCGAGACTCCAGTGCTCGGAGACGCAGCTCTAACTCACTGACCCTGGATTCCAGAGCTACGACTACACTACACTTCACACATCTATCACTACCCTCAGAAAAGGATCCAGGGTTTAGACTCGCCATATGGCAACTCGAGCAGTAAAGGATTGAGGGAGAGACAGCAGCCGCCATAGGAGTAGTGAGTTAGCGGCTAGGCTAGGCTAAGCTAGTCCGGATCCGGGCCCGCACAACAGACTCCGAGACCAGACAAACAACCGCTACCTAAACCTCAGCTGCAGTACAGCTGACTCGGAGTGCTTACACAGTTAGCTTGATGTACAATACGTGGATTTGTGATGTGTTTGTTAGTGCAAACAGAGAGCAGAGTGATAGTAGTCAAGAAACACGCTCACCGGATACAGGAAGTCACATAAGATGATTTTGTTATTATTATTATTATGAAATGGCGTACTTCTACTACTTATGTTTGTGTTGAATGACTTCATAATTGCATTGACACAAATGTCCCCGTGTCTTTGCAGGTGGGCGGACATGTTCAAGGCAAAAGGCTGTGGAGAAAATGCTGAAGTGCATAATTTTTCTCATCCGTTCGTACAGGTATAGTATGACAAACAATCTTTAGTGTCTCTAACAGGATGTATGTCCAACGTTTGTGGCCTGATGTTCCTTAGCACAAAGCAGAAATGGCTTTTGGTTAGTCTCGGGATTTAGTCTCTTAAATTATGGCGACTATTTGTGGTTATTAGGGGTGTAGGCGATACTTTCTCCCGCGATTCGATTATCGATATGCATTTGCCAAGTATCAATATCGATTTTGAAAAAATAAAAATAAAATTATTTTATTTTAATTTTTTTTTTTGAATTGGTATCAATACTTAATATATGGCTACATTACGCATCTCCATTCTATGTATCATGAAATAAAGAGTAATTTGTGTTTTATTTATGCCATAAATTGGCATATTGTATATTTCTGACCAATATATCAATAATCGTCATATCGTTATAAAATCGTTATCGTGATATTATCGTTATCGTAAGCTTTGTATTGTATCGTATCGTGAGGTACCCTTAGGTTCCCACCCCTAGTGGTTATGGCACAATTCCTTTTTCATATTCAACTATTTCTTTCAATCAATATTACTCTTCTAAAGTGAAGGTTACTTTTCAAATGTTGAAGATGGACTGTTTTCCCGCGCAATCGCCTCTTAGACCTGCCTCCACTGCTCACTGATTGGACGCAATGAACCCATTAATAAAGTCTTCATCATTAAAAATGCATAACTTGGATGATACTACAGGTTCACTTGGTCAAACATGTGTTCTTTTCTAAAAATAAAAAAGCGGTTGCAGACATCACCTTCAATGCAACTATACAGACATTGGTCCTATTTTTTGTCAAATTTTATGTGCCACTTTACTAACACCACATTGTATTTAAGTTTATAGGGCACATTTAAAACAGACTAGACTTAATGACAGAAATGTGACGAGAGTGAAGGGAAATTAATGTGACATCTTGCCCAGGCCTCATCTCAATTATGTCACGCAAAATGATACACAAGACAGTTAGGATCGAGAACTGGAGAAGAGCTAGCCCTACTGATATACAACTGACATGTGAAGTTACTGTAAATACAAATCTAAGTCAAATTGTTATAACATCTGCTTGAAAGTAATAGAATGTTTTATTTATTTTTTACTTGTTTAGACAAAACATTAAACAGGATACAAAAAATAAACCGCAATGCAGTTTGGTACACATAGATTGAAAGATTGACACATTGCTTTGGAGTCATTCAAATTTCAGTCACATGCATTGTTTTGCTTGTCTATAATTAATGCAACAGAGTTTTTGATATTTGAGTAGGTTCACCTTTATTGTCATTACAAAGTCAGAACGATGCAAAAAAAATGCAGTTTAGGATTTAACCGGTAGTCATCTAGGACAATATTGACATTTGTATATATGTGAGAATGTATAGCTGCTCTTGCTAGACTAGAGAGACACCAGACGATGCTAACACAAGCGTTTGTGTATGTCGTGCAGGCAGTGGGCATGTTTTTGGGGGAGTTCTGTTGTCTGGTCGTGTTCTACCTGCTGCTGTGTCAGGACAAGCGCAGACCCACCCCTCAGATGAACCCAGGCCAAAGCTTCAACCCTCTGCTCTTCCTCCCCCCGGCCATGTGCGACATGACGGCAACCTCCATCATGTATGTGGGTGAGTCCAAACCTCCACCACACCACAGGCCCTTCACAAAATCCAAAACAAAAAATAATTGATATTTAAGGCGTGCAAGTACTTTAACTTGGGGTTTTCAAATGTATTGTAAATCAGATAATAATCCATACTGGTACAAGATCTACAGGGAAACTCTGAACATTTGATTTATATTTATTTCAAAAGGTGAAACCAATATATGATATAGACAAAGTGACATATGTGAAGTCTTTGTTCGGTATAATTCAGATACAGTAGTTTTGGCGTACAGTCAATTTTCAAAACATTCTAATATTCTGAGATAATATCAACATAACAAATAAAGACTTGATGTGTGTTAGTTTCACATTTAAGTTGAATTACAGAAGTAAATAGGCTTCACCTATGATTTGAGTAAAGTGTACTAGAACAAATAGGACAAAATATTCTTTAATTCATACAAATATTAGTGTAATAAAAAAAATGACTATTTTGAGTTAAGAATTGTATTGTGACAACACAACTGTATATGCTTCAATTTTAGCTATGTATCTGTGTCGGGACAGGATCAGATCACAAACTGATAAATACAAAGATCTGAGTGTCTATATCTCCATGATTCTTCCATTCAGTTTATTTTATCACACTAAATCACGACAGCAGTCGTGTTAGAGGACATTTTTCAATTGTTGATTTACCAACTGCAGTTGGAACACAGGAATGGCAATATCAAACACATAGGAGTCATTGGTCCACATAGGGAGGGAGATCCGCTTCCACAGACATACAGGCTATGAATCCAGGACAAAGGGTGCCTCTTGTACGCAGATTACCATGCTTTTCCTCACTAATATTATTATAGCAATATTGTAAATGCCATATTATTATATCAATTACAAGTTGGATCTTTTATTCCACCAGGAGTAACCGATATGTGCTCTTTCAGCTCTGAACATGACCAGTGCGTCCAGTTTCCAGATGCTCCGTGGGGCCGTGATCATCTTCACCGGGCTGCTGTCTGTGGCCTTTCTGGGCAGGAAGCTGGCCGTGAGTCAGTGGGTAGGGATCTTCATCACCATCATGGGGCTGGTCATTGTGGGCCTCTCTGATTTTGTCAGTGGCAACAGGGACGACTCTCACAAACTGAGCGACGTCATCACAGGTGATAAACTCTCAACGGTTAATTAAATACATGTTGTGAAATTCTGACTCAAGGATCTTTTCTTTCAAGGAGATCTAAGCACAGCAGGGGGCTAGCTTTATCAAGAGTTAAGACATCAAATCAGGAATGAATTAGAATTTAAAGTCAAAACAAATCTGAGACTATTTCGGACCATTCTCTTTACACTCTAGCCCGTCTGGCAGCAACAACCATGCCACGTTCAAAGTCACCTAAATCACCTTTCTTCCCCATTCTGACGCTTTGTTTGAACTGCAACAGATCGTATTGACCATGTCTACATGCTTTAATGCATTGAGTTGCTTCCATGTGATTGGCTGATTAGGAATTTGCAGGTTAACCTAATAAAGTGGCCGGTGAGTGTATTTCAGTGGTAAATAAAACAGACCCAGAAGTACGAACATAATCTGTGACATACTGTAACTATTCCACTGCTGTGCTCAGGCTTAAATGAAATCACAAACCTGGAATCCCATATTCTCATTTCTGTAATTGGACAGGTGACCTCCTCATCATCATGGCTCAAGTAATAGCCGCTGTTCAGATGGTATTGGAGGAAAAGTTTGTCTACAAACATGATGTCCATCCATTGAAGGCCGTGGGCACTGAAGGTAAGCATACAGTTTGCAAACAGTGTATATTTTGTCTATTTGGGCTCATACAGTATAACTTTTACTATTATTAATACTCTCGTCATGTCTTCTCAGGGTTTTTCGGCTTCTTTGTGCTGTCTTTCCTGCTGATTCCCATGTATTTCATTCCGGTCGGTAGCTTTTCGGACAACCCTCGGCAGGTTCTGGAGGACGCCCTGGATGCCTTTTGCCAGATCGGACACAAGCCCCTGATCGTCTTAGCTCTGCTTGGAAACACGGTGAGCATCGCTTTCTTCAACTTCGCCGGCATCAGCGTCACCAAGGAAATCAGCGCCACGACGAGGATGGTCCTGGACAGCCTCCGCACGTTGGTGATCTGGGTGGTGAGCCTGGCGCTGGGCTGGGAGAAGTTCCAAGGGCTTCAGGTGGTCGGGTTTCTGGTGCTTCTGCTGGGAACGGCTTTGTACAATGGACTGCACCGCCCCATCATGTCCAGAATACCGTGCTGTGCCTCCTGGGCTGGAGAGGAGGAGCCGAGCAACGAGGAAGAAAGGGAAAGGCTGCTAAACGGAGATACTGTAAGGGACCAGAGCTAGGTCTTCACTGATGGACTCTTATGACGTTTTCATCACATAGATGCCATGCCTTGCTTTTTTTGTAATTCATAATTTTAATTTTTTTTTTAAGTTGGATGTTTTTTTTCATAATACAATAATAATAACATGCACTGTGCAACTTTTTTATCTGCATATTTGTATTCAGGGTGTGTCTACAGTCCGGTTAGGATCAGTTGTTTGTTGTTTTGTATGCTTTCTTACAACTGGTTCTATCAGTTGAGAGAACCTACAGAAGTAAACCTTGTAGTGACCCAGTCAAAATGTAAAAACATAAAGTGTTTTTACATGTTGCATAATGTTGCGTAAGTGTGCTCTCACTATTTTTAATTTAGAACTTTTATGTATAATACATTTTTACACAACTGTTTATAGATGAAACTGACTGACGTAATTATTTTTTATATTCATCCAACTGTCTACAACAGTGAAATAGAAAATAAATAAAAAACATTTCTATCAAAGATGGATAGAAATTTAATCTTGCTTCAGGGCAAACATGGCCTTGTGCTATTATAGTCAGTATCTGTGCAAATTCTTTCAAGATTACAACATATTTGTCACAATGCAAAGCCAATGTTGTTAAACTTTCACTACTTTCACTGCCACAGACTGGTTTCTGCGTGCTGTATAATTGTATCTAATGTAAATCTCTGTACAATCTGCTGGGTGCAATTTTAAATGTACAAATGTTATATCAATGGTACATACTTAAAAAGGGAACTGTGATTAAAACACTTCCACTCATGACTTCTGTGTACAGTCTTCTTTTGTTTTGCTGAATGACATGCTGTGTTCAGTATATTTCAATCATTTTTCTTTGTATTTTTAGTTTTTGTCCATATTGCTTGGTTTTTAGCACATTTGGTATAATTGTTCTGTCATTATTACAATATCTCCCTCTAGTGGATGCTTTTGGTTCCTACATCCAATCATAGGTCGCCTCCTGAGTCAGCTGACCAAAACACGGAAGAGGCTGCGGATGTGGACCACGGGATGCAGCAGAAGCGTGTTTCTGTTAAAACTGGATCGAAAACAACTTTTTTTTTAACATGTATTTAACTAAAAATGTGTTTCGGATTAGGGAATGCATCTAAACAATAATAACAACCCTGGCTTTCTGGTTGATCTGACGATGTAAGTTATCATTTTGGTTTATACAGCCTCTCTCTATGCTCTCTTATGTATCACATTCTCTGGTATTTTAATTTGATTAGGTACATTCTCTACGCGATACACAAGATACTCGGTTCTACGTATAGGTTACGTGTGAGTCCTCAAAACATCCTTTTACAACTGTTTTAGACATTAACAGTTGCAATACCTATATGACATACAATGGAGAACACAACGTAAACCCTAAATACCGATGTCCAATTTATTTGATGATTGATTATTTGTATTGGCATTATAAGTAACGGGATGTCACAATCTAGGAGTTTGCTTTGGATCAAGGTGCAAACAAGTTATAAGTAAAAATAGATAGAAGGCATGCATAAACATCTTCATAAAATATCTCAAAATATTAGTTATAACGATACTAACATTAGGACCCAGAGGTAAGGACACTTAACTTAAGACACTTAACCTCTGGGAACACCAGGTGCCACAGTGGGGCGGCTGCGGCTGTAAAGTGCCAAACTGCTGTTGTGTCCTTAGGCAAGACACTTCCCCCCTATTGCCTAGAATGAGTCTGGTGTGTGTGTGAATGGTTGGTGGTGGTCGGAGGGGCCGATGGCACATACTGGTTGCCTCGCTTCTGTCAGTGTGCCCCAGGGCAGCTGTGGCTACTGTAGTGGTTTATCACCACTTTGTATGGAGTGAATGAATAATGACATGTAAAGCGTCTTTGAGTGTCCAAATAAGAGCTATATAAAACCGATGCATTATATTGAGAGGAAGAGAATGAGGAGCAGGCTAAGCAGGTCCTAAGAGAGATACGTCATCCCAATATTGAGAACTAGCTTAGTTATTTGCAATAGTAGAAACATTGACTTTCTGTGACTAATAACAAAACAGCAACTGCCCATTTTAGTATATTAATGTATGTGACTCGACAGTGGCTCAGTTGGTAGAGAATTGGCCTTTGGACCTGGGGGTCGTACAGTCTATGGTCCAAGCCCACCACGAGACCCCCCGGACCCAGAATTGGATCAATGGGTAGAAAATGGATTGATTACTCTGGCATGTACTGTATCTACTGTTTAAAAAAGCTACATATGTAACCTTAATTATTGTAACTTTATGATGTTTTATAAGTCCTCTGTAATGAACCTTTTGAATTTATGACTGAACATCACAAATGTAAAAATGTTCACGTTAACAAGGAAATGTACAACCCCCACATATTTATAATTCTTCCACAGACTATGTATGTTATTGATATTAAAAAAATATTTCTTTGTGAAGATGAAGGTTTTTCGGGGTCCGGCTCGTCACGGTTACGCTGTCGAAGTTTCTCCATTCATCCCAAACAGAGTGGCCTGCGCTGCCTCTCAGTATTATGGGATAGCAGGTCAGTATCAGTGCAAATATATACATATAAGATTCTGTGGATGAGGGAAATGTTATGTTTTTTATCGTGTGGACAGGTTGTGGGACATTACTGGTTTTGGAAGATAACCCATCTGGCATTGCACTTGTTCAAAGGTAATTCTCAAGATATTTTAGCTTCTTTCATTGTTTCAAATTTTCAGTCGTTTTCAAATGAAGAAGGCTTTACAAAATATATTTATCTATTCCCCCTCAGTTGGGAGTGGAGTGATGGTCTGTTCGATGTGTCCTGGAGTGAGTGTAACGAACATGTTTTAGTGGCTGCAGGCGGAGATGGAAGTTTACAGCTCTGGGATTCAACCAATCGCAGCGCTCCGCTCAGAGTAGTCAAAGAACACACACAGGAGGTGGGACCCATATTTGGAATTAAAAGTAAAAAATAAAATAAAAATACAAGAAATCTTCTGTTATTTAGGGTCAAGGGATTTTATTTAAGTTTTCCATGTTTCTATTTTAAATGAATAATGACTACATGCTGTAATAGGATTGAGAATTACCTGAAAAATACATGTTCAATTGCAGGTTTATGCTGTGGACTGGAGTCAAACCAGAGGTGAAAATCTTATAGTTTCTGCTTCCTGGGATAAAACGGCTAAAGTGGTTTGTTCACACTTCACAGTTAATACTTATACTTGATGAATGCTTTGGCTGTTTATGAATATATAATCTATTCCCTGTTCTAGTGGGACCCTGGTCTGAAATGTTTGTCCACTCTCAGAGGTCACGAAGGGGTCATCTACAGCTCTTTGTGGTCACCTCATATCCCAGGATGCTTTGCAACTGCCTCAGGTCAGTAAAAGTCAATTAACACATCACTTATGTGTCCATGTTATGAATGAGAAATCCATCAGAGGACTATGTGGTTTCAGGCCACATGGTGGGGGTGTTGTCCATCTGTCCCTCTGGGTGTAGTTGATATTAGTTCGGTCAAATGCGCTGCATGTGCAACACTTTTGGGATAGATTACTCCTTGGGGTTAAAAAAGAGAAGACTGGATAAGACCTAAAGATAAATCTTTGAGCATGACTGATAGTTATTGCTTCTTAAGTTTCCAACTTGGAAATAAGAAATAATTTGGACAAAATCAAACTTGGCAAAAAAATTTATTATTTGTACATTTTTGTTTTTATTACAAATGCATGTAACCAAAATACAATAAAAATAAAAAAGTAAGTACCACACATGTACAAATACAATACAATAAAATCAAAGTAATAATGACTTTATTACTTTGATGACAAGGTGTGTCTCTCACTGTTGATAGTTCCAAACAGGCAATCCAGAAAATGTCAAAATCCACCATTGACAAGACAGCAGGTGAGGGGTTTAATACACACTTGTCCCTTTTAAAGTAAAGAAATAGATGGAATTACACAACGTCAGGTCATGTCCCATCTACCTGCGCACCACCCCAAGGATCCTCTGATGTGAATGGGGTGTGACTGTGAACAGCAGCCTCTAATGAGCAGATCTCCTGTGTGCAGCCAGCAGCGGCCTCAGCCCATCAGATGTGGAATATTGGGGACAGTTGATGTAAAGTGTGGCTCGAGGCTACAGTGCTGCTCAGTGAATCTAATCCAACGCTGTATAATTATGGTTTATCCTGCCGCACAACTGCTATCTATTATTTAACCAGAACCAGCTCTGGACACAAAACGCAATGAGATCAACAGAGGTGGGCTTCTCTATGAGCCCTGGTGGAGGAGGCTATTGACGCTGCACACGCAAATGAAAGACGGACATAGATTTTGGCAAAACACATTCAACTGAACTCAACCTTTTTTCTATTTTGGTGAATTTAAGTTGGGATAATTGTATCATTAGGGTTTGGGACTGAACAAATATTTGCAACTAAAGAATCAAGCCTCTAAAGTAAAAAATACTGTATAAAAGTCAAATTTATTTTGTGTGTCCCAACAGAAGTAGTCTTGCAAGAGTAACATTTTAACTAATCAGACCGTAACTATCTGTTTTTTTTGTATTATAAAACATGTTTTTGGACTTGTCCTCTAGTTTGCACTGTAAAAGCTGATGTAAAGGTGTGATAGAGGCCAAACACATGCATGTGAAAGCTAGTTACAGAATCAAACTCAAAGAAGGCGAACTAGTTTGACAGATTTAAATACACAGTGTTTTTTACGGTTTCAAAGTTAGGTACTCCAGCACCTCTTAAAATGATTATTATGATTAGAAAGTGTAATTTTATATCATGTACCAAGACGTCAACACCGCTCTGCTTCTCTGGGTGACATGACAACGTCTTTGTAGTCCGTATAATACTGTTTTTAAGCTCAGCGGCTCTATGCAAATGATAACTGCTGTACTTCATGAATGTGGTTGAAGCTTCGCTCTTTGTGTCAGATCTCACCAGTGTCGGGGAAAATACTTGAGAAATTGTATTTTGTGACAGAATACTGAATACTTCCTTTAAAAGTACCATATTGTGTTACATGATCCAATCAAAGTATTGTATTCTGAATGCAAGAATTTAAGATCAGAGAACCTTTATTTGTCCCACTGTGGGGAAATTTCAATGTTGCAGCGCACTTACAGGACAGTAGTAAGAGCACACAGGGAGCACACAAACTATACAAGATAAGTAGCTGGTATGTTTCTTAGGTGTAAATGCTTCAATATCAACATAATGATATATCTCTATCTATTTATCTATGCAATATATATATAGATAGATAGATAGAAAGCTATATACATATAGAGCAGGATAATAAGTAGATAAAGTGGCATTCAGTAGACATTCTGCTCGTTTGTTATGTATATCCATTTATTGTTACATAAACATATAAAACATGCACACATACGCTACTAAAACCATATATACATCTGTATAAGAATTGCACCTTATTTGAAATACTGTCTCTAAAATAGTATGTGTATATAAATATATATGTATGTTTATGTGTCTGGTGCTGCACACTGGGGTACTTTTGCCATTTGCAGTAAAACTATGCCAATGTAGTTTTACGTAGTAAGTAAGTAAGTAATCTTTATTTAGAAACCGCCTTTCACAGACCAGAGTCACAAAGCGGTTTACAATTGTGGGCATTTGTCTCTCACTCCACACAGAGATGGGAGCGGGGTCGCCAGTACAGGAGGCGCATGCCAGACCTATTGGACATGTGATTAGTGGTAGGGGAAACCGGAGTACACGGAGGAAACAAGGGGAGAACATGCAAACTCCACTCAGAAAGGCCCTGTTCCGATCGGGATTCGAACCCAGGACCTTCTTGCTGAGAAGCGAGAGTGCTATCCACTCAGCCACCGTGCCACTTTTACTGCAAATGGCAAAAAAACTGAATTCTGTATTCAGTTACTCCACAAAACAACTAATTTCCCTTTCAGCCACTGACTACCCTCTGCCTTCACTGGTCCATTTTTTTTTTTAAATCAATTCCACCACTGTCATTTTATAGAGTGTATAGAACTTAGAATGCTTTTGCTCGGAAGCTGCAGTAATGTTCTTGTAGTTAGTCAGTAGTATTTAGTCATGTGAGTAGCACTACTGCATATTTGGCCAGTTTAATTGATCTAGATATGGCCATTATCATCTCGTGCTGCTAAATTGAAGCCCTGACCACAGAGACTGATTTGTGTGTTAATCTGATGAGATATTTACGTTCTTCTCAAACCAATTACACCCATTTGGTCGGTGAAGTGCAGCTGCTCCTCTGTCGGGTTCGAGCCAGCACCAGGTACTTATCAAAACCCAAAGCCAATTTCCATACACACTTATTATCTGTTGACCTGTGCAGAATCAGCAAATAGAAACCTCACTGCTTTGGGCCTCGAAACACCTTTCATCTCATTACTGAATATATTATGAAAAGGTCTGGAGTTTAATTTGATTTCAGTAATGATGAAGTTTGAAATAATATTGTGTTATTCTACGGTATCGTCAGAGGAACCAGTGTTCTGAAAGTAATAATACCAGTTTAAAATGTCCCAGGTTCGATTCCACCTCCAGACAGGGCCTTTCTGTGTGGACTTTGCATGTTCTCCCCGTGTTTCCTCTGGGTTCGTCTAACATTAAAAACATGTACAATGTATTTTGCAAGGAGTGAATGGGAACTCTCCTGACATGTTAAAATGCCTTGGTCTATGCACTATATAAATACATTCTATCAAAATAAAACAGATAATAATGAATATTTTTTTAGCATGCATTATAATTTTTTCAGATTTTTTCTATGGAGATGTACCTTATTTTGGAGGATGATTCAACCACTTTTCAGTACAAAATAGTTCAGAGTGTATTTCTGCAATTTCGCAAGTATGGCTTTGACCATGTCCTTATTCAAAGGTGTTTGAGGTGGGCCCTGACAGAGATCATCTATTGATCGTAGGTTCTCTTCATTACACTTCTAACCAGCAGCGGAAACCTCCCCTCTCAGTCACCAGGCGCCTGTGGTGGTCACTCCAGTCCATCCATCGTCTCATGACTGGTTGACTCTACCTTTAATACAGTAGCTCTGAGAGGCACTAACCTGATTCCATTCCTGTGATAATGATAACTGACCAAAGATATTTTAAGTGGTCCTTATGCGTAACCGTGGGCATTAGGCTGGATCAACTAGTCTTTCAATCATGATTTAGATTTTCTCACACACTTTTCTAATCTTTTGAAATGTGTATGTAGTCAAATATATACGTAGCCTATTCTCTGTAGTTCATAGTCTTTATGTTAGGGCTGTAAAGAAGGATAACTTTTACTTTATGTTGCTTTACTCTTACTTTTGGCTACTTCATCCAATTCTGTTTCATAAAAATACAGCGTTAATGACCGTGGATAAGTGTACAAGAGCCGCACTTATCTGTGCACCGCGGGGTCCTTGAGTCACGTTTAGCATGAGGAGCTCTACTGCCCCTTTGAAGCTGTAGAAGCAGAGGTCTCATGCCATCCCTGGATGATAAGCTTATCGGGGATTCCCATGTCCCTGCCCCCTCCCCCTCTTCTGCTCTCCGCTGTCAGAAATATAGTTTATTTTCCATAATTTGGTTCAGTGCCACATCAGGAACACCTCCAGGAGAAGTCAACAGCCGGAGTTTGCCCTGAGGTTTGCAGCGGTGGATGAAAATGAAGCGAGTTACACAACACCAATAATATCAGCCCTCATAGAAAGCTTCCCATTACCACCTGATCCCTGTAGCTCTGAGGTCACAAGGTCTTCAAAATATGCAAATCTAAATGGCATGTCATGAAAGCACATAACTATAAAGAGAAAATGTATTCCTGAATATCATAATTAGGGCTGCGAGTAACGTCCATCCATCCATTTTCTTCCTCTTCATCCGTTGCCAGGTCGCGGGGGCAGCAGTCTAAGCAGAGACGCCCAGACTTTTCAGGCCAGCTGAGAGACATAGTCCCTCCAGCGGGTCCGGGTCCCCCCAAGGGAGGCGTCCAGGAGGCATCCGGAACAGATTTCCTAGCCACCCCAAACTCGTTCCTCTCGCTGTGGAGAAGCAGCAGCTCTACTCCGAGCTCCTCCTGTGTGACTTACCTCCTCATTCTTTGTCTGAGGGAGCGCCCAGCCACTCTGCGGAGGAAGCTCATTTTGTCCACTTGTATCCGCGATCTCGTCCTTTCGGTCATTACCCAAAGCTCATGACCAACAGAAGATTGACCGGTAAATCGCGAGCATCAATGCGCATGCTGCACTGATCCGCCTGACAATCCCACGCTCCATCCTTCCCTCACTCCTCCAGGTAGGACCTCTCCACCCACCTGGAGAAGGCAAGGAGCAAGTAACGTTTTATTTTGATAATTGCTTATCAAAAGCGATTCGTTGTTGGAATACCGGTGTGATATTTTGTGTACGTTTGAGTAAGCACGTTTGAGAGGCACTGTGTCGCAGCAGCTAGCAGGTCTTGCGTTTGATTCCACCTCCTGACGGGGCCTTTCTATGTGGAGTTTGCATGTTATCCCCAGGTTTCCACTTAAAACTACTAGGTGGTAGTACCATGAAAATATGTACAATACTGCAGAATAAATGAGGGTGTATTTGTGAGTGCCACTGTGGGCCTACCCTGTCCCATTCAATTAGATAAATAAATATATAGATACAGCTAATGTGAATCCACTGGAGGACCTTCTAACATTCCAAACCAAACTAGACACTTACACAATTCTTGCATATTTTTTAATGAAACTCTGATTATTAAAATCATTTTTCACAACTCTTATATTTGTTGGAAGCAACAACAGTTAAATATTATTTAATTATTAAAAAAGTTGTCAATTATTGTAACTTGATTTTGTCAGATCTAATTATGATGCAAATAAAATCATATGGCCTGAGCGTATTGGCGTGATGGATCCTCTTTGGTCTGCAGCATCATTTCCTCTTGTTTTGACTGTAGCGTTCAGGGCTTTGTGGATAAGCTGCGGAGGAGGCAAATGTCGTGATCCAAGCTAAAACATCTCACAAACGGCCGAATGATACCCTTTTGTGCTTCAGCCCACTGTCTCCCACTCAGATGTTAGATTCTTCATTCAAAACCTGCTTTAGAACCAGATTTGAAATGTAAATAGGGTCAAAAAAGGCATATGGATTATCACAGAGATGACATTGACTATTGAGTGTCCAATAGAAGCTAGCTGACAGTAGGAGCGCGTATATAGAGTGTCATGGAAGTAAAATCCAAGTCTGGCTTCAATGTGTATGTCAGAGTATCAAGTCGCCACTTTGGAGGAAAAGTAAATACCCGTTACATAAACCCTAATCCTATTTTCCTAAGGCCTGTGTTGTTTCAGGCTGATAACAGAGGGAAATGTTCAAAAGACTGAGCACACAAAACATGCAGGTATACAATGTACATGACGTGTTGGTACCACTGGGTATGTATGACTACTGTATGTTGCGTTAGAATTCATTTAGAGCTGTTGCTGCTATAGTTTTAGTATTAGGGGTGTTGATATATATTGTCCTATATTGTATCATCAGTTTGATATAATCGATTGGTCTGCTGACAATCCTCAAGGATCCGCAATCAGCACTCACACTTTGAATGAAATGTTTGAAACAAGAGGAAAAAATTGTGTGTTCATTATTTTCTGGTATCTCCTAGACCTAGAGCATTTGCTATCATGTGTATTTTATATGTAGCTACCACACTGGTCAGAGGTTTTTCAGTTAGATATAGTAGCGTCTGGCAAGCTATTCCCCGAACCAACATGGCCCAGGGTTCACTTTTCCATATTTGGCCACTGACTATGCACATGTTTGATACACTTTTTTGCATTTTCCACTATTTGTCATCTCTCATCAAATTAAAAATCAGAATATCATTAACTCTGTATCATTAACTAGTTTTGACTCCTTTCAAAAGACTTAGCTGAGCTTATCTGAAAGCTTTCCATTCATTCAATTTTTGTATGTAGCCACAACAGTTGTTATCTCAGCTTTACAAACTTGCCGGTTCACAACAACAGATCAGAAAATCAGTTTGAACACAGCGTATGCGATAATAACGAACACATAGGAGTCATTGGTCCATAGAGAGCACCAATGAGAAGAAATGTCCATAAATGACCGTTCATGTGCCGGATATGGATAGGTGCCTCTCTGATTTAAATGAGCACGTCTTTTTACGGTAATTCTCTCTCGCTGTTCCCTATAAAGACCAGAGCTGGTGCTGCACATGGCACTGTGGGGGTGGGAGTCTCGCTCTGTTAAACTGTATCTGTCCGGATCAGCACATTCACTGCTGCAGTGTAACTATACAAACGGCCCTCCGTCACAACTCGTGTTTTACGGCAAGACCAGGGATCTCCCAGAGCGGAGGAGATCAACAGCAGACGAGATCAGAGGAGCGAAAAGGCTGATCATTACTCCGCAGGAAAATGTGACACAACTTACTGAAAAATGCAGAGATTGTCCTTCCTTGTGTCGTGAAGTGTATGATGTAGTTTGAGTGGTCCTCTACATTCAACCCTGCCTTCCAAATATATTAATATTTACAGTCTATGCTTCCAAACCAGTTGAAAAAAATGAATTTCCCCTAATTAAAGCTGAGGTACTTATTTTTTACATGAATAGTATGTTTTTGTACCTACAGAAATAATCTAATAGTAGTGCAATGTTGTGAACCAATCAGAGCAGAACCCTTGCTGTTTGGCGCTGTAAGCTGAATGGTTGAGTGAGGGTGGTCGACTATTTAGCTGTGAGAGATGTGTTAGAAATACTGTACATGCATGGAAACTAATGATGGAAAACAACTGGGTTTAGATCAAGAAACTATAGTTAAATTGACTTTAAACACATGTCATTGATTTGTGGTGGTTTGAAATGTAGGTACCCAGTTTAAAAGGAAAATCATGGGAGTTTGGCTTAGTTAAATGGTATGGATGTCATGTTTCATCACAACTATGAATAATCATTTTCCACTACCCGAGCATGGCATAGTCCATGCTTCAGCTCTTGTAAAGTAACTTCTTTCTAACAGGATTGTGCTGGTGTTGTGTCCAGTCCTCCCCCTCCTGTCGGTTTTAGGGAGTGTGAATAAGACGGCTCTAAATGGGTTTAAATATCAGTTCAGAGCAGAGTGGGAGTGAGGAGGAAGGTATAGCTGCTGCAGAAGTGTGCTTGGCTTTGCTTCACTTGAACCTTTTACTTGAATCGTCATTCTATACATTTGCCATACATCATTTCTATATCATTTATTCAAAAAACCTTGCATAGATTATTATGGATCAGTGACAAAGTACATTTCCGGCAGAGGGCTTGTCTTAGAAACATTTACATTCTAAATATAATCCCTCACTTGTAGATGTAATTTTATTTTTATATATATTGTGCAAATGTACCGTGCAGTCAAACTATAGCCTCATTCCTCCATTAATATGCAGGTCTCTAGTAAAACACATATTTAAAGTTGTTTTCAGCCAATTATTTTGTTTTATCAATGGAGATTTAGCAGAAAATTGAAAATTTGATTGTGAAATGAACTCTCCAAGATCAAAATAATCACAATGTGACTGTGTAGTGACTGCGTAGTAACTGTGTAGTGACGGTGTAGTGACGTATAAGGAGGTACCTCTGCAGTGAATGGAGCAGTCGGGCTGAATGAGTGTCGCAGTGCGTTGGCAGGACACACTTTGGGATGAAGCCACAAAGGAAGTGACCCCTGAAATTACCAACCTTTTGTGTAGCTGGACTTAATGCCACTAGCAAGCAATGTCTCTCTGAGCGAGGAGTGTAATGTGGTACTGGGTTTTGGTTCTGTTTTCAAGAACTCAACTTTCCCTTTTTTCAATCTTTTACAATTACTTTTGTGAAATCCCCCAATGATGCATACATGCTGTGTTTTATTTGAGCTGTTATATTAAATTATATATATGAAATTAAAAAAACAAAATAGTATTGGTAGTTTGTCGCTCTCAAAGCAGTCTCTAAGTAGTTTCAACATGCATGTGTCATGTATCTTTTACATACTAGTGGTCCGGTTAGATACTATAGCTTAAGCGCTATCGGTCAGTAACATACTGCATATTATGTGAAGTATAGGGTGTCCTCAAATCATATAAAAAAATGTAATGTTTTCTTGTGAAAATGTGCTTTATAAGATTATGTATATCATGCCATGGCAGCTACTCTTACCCTCTTAACTCACTGCATGCTCATAATAAAAGCTAGCACATCCTGTGGTTTAACCGGTGACATCAGCTTTGTCTGGGTTTGAAATTGTCGCGAAAAAATATGGACATGCTTCTAGTTCCATGTGCACATTATTTTGGAACAACTGTCAAACATATTTTCCATGTGGTTGAATAAAGTTGAAGTTGTATTCTGTGCATGTGCCATCAAAAGTACTTTCCTCTGACCAGGTCCCTCAAGTTCTCCCAGTCCCTCTATGACTATAGGTCACTATTTATCTGAGCAACCAAACTTACACATGTATAGAAAGTTCTGGACTAAATCACTTAACACTAATGTATAAATATTGCATAGTATCAGTTCCTACCTCCCAAAAGACAAATATATCACATTATTTAGTATTGAAATAATGTTGTTTTTTTTCTTCATTTTTAGGAGATGGCACACTCCGGATATGGGACGTGAAGAGCAATGTCTGTCGGTTGGTTGTTCCCGCCCACAATGCTGAAATACTGACCTGTGATTGGTGCAAATACGACCAGGTATCCTCTTTTTAACAGCACTGTTTTATTGAAGGTTAATTAATGCTTAGAATGAAGTACACTACATCTAAAATGAAACTGAAAAAAAAACATCTCACTGGCACAGAACATCTTGGCCACAGGCTCTGTGGACTGCAGCATTCGAGTTTGGGATTTAAGGAATGTCCGTCAGCACGTGAGCCAATTACAGGGACATAACTACGCCATCAGACGACTCAAGGTACTCAAACACTCAGCTCGTGTCTACTATCTACACTAATATAGACGTGTGACGAGGCTGCCAGCAGAATTGTGTTTTTTCTCAATATGGGTGGAAAACATGGTGGACATATTTGCCTTTTTACCATTTCAATTCAATTCAATGCATTCTTGTATAGCCCTAAAACACAGCAGTAGTTATCTCAGAGGAATTCGCCCACACAGATCAGAGAATCTGTGTGGGCGACAGTAGCTCAGTTGGTAGAGCATTGGCCTTAAGGCCAGAAGGTCATGGGTTCAATTCCCACCTCTGCACCTTCTCCACCGACTCCCACTGATGACTGTCGTTGTGTCCTTGGGCAAGACACTTAACCCCACTTTGCCCAAAGCCCCCACTGAAAGATCAAGGCTATGCTCACACTCAGAGAGCAGCCATCCTCCTGTGGACTCACCACCTGCAGAGGGTCAGTGAGGGGCTGGTGCTATGAGACTTGGGTGGCATCTCTGATTGACACCCCCCTGACCCAGAAATGGATTAAAGGGTAGAAAATGGATGGATGGATGGAGATCAGAGAATCAAACTGTTCAAACACAAGAAATATCACCACTGTCCTTTTAGTTAGACCTTGCAAGACTAACAGACCCTCCTGCATACCAAATATCTACTAAGCGGTGCAGCTCTGCCATGTAAAATGCATCAGTAAAAGAAAGGAGCCAGGGCAGTTTATCAGTTATTGATGAAAATTGGGATTGTTGAAGCAATGGTGACTTGAATACAGGGGAATGAAGATTTCTCTGAATCAATTTCAATGCAGATACAGTATGAGTATAACACTATTTTTGCATTGTGCATGCTTTCTATGCACAGTTCCAAATATGCTTTATCCATGAAAGTAAAATCCACAGTCAAAGTGAGGGGGCTTCCATATTGGGGCAACCATTGATTGACGGCCGTAAGCTCCGCCAAGCCCAATTTGTTGTAATGTCCGAGCCGAGAGAGGTCATCCAGGAGAAACACCAAGGGAAAGCAGGGCACCAGGCCCCCTGGACACTCCCAACCCAGGCTGAGGTCCCAGCAGAGCCCCCATGGCATAAAATGTGGATTGAATCTAGCTTCCACTCCATGGTGAAAAGTTCAATTCAATTTATTCAATTCGATTTATTCTTGTATAGCTCTAAATCAGAACAGTAGTTATCTCGAAGGAGCTTACAAAATCGTTGTATATACCAACACAGATCAGATAATCAATGTTCAACACAAGAAATGCAAAGATAAAAACACATAGAGCCTTTGGTCCATAAGATCACCCAGGCCCATGAATTTTATAAACGTCCATAAAGGGTGTTGAATGTTGAGTCTCCTGGATCATCAACACTGTCCTTTTAGTTAGACCTTCTAACAGTCTAACAGACTGTCCTGCAAATACAAGGAAAAACTCTAAAACCCAGCGGAAAAAGGTGAGAAACCTCGGGGAGGTCCACATTGAGAGAGGGATCCGCTCCCACGGACACAAGTCTATATGTGGCAAAGTTCTAAAAGATCAGATGGATCTGTTTTCCGGAATCATTTTCCGTAATGCATTGTGTTCAATTTAAAGGGTCATGTATAAAATTCTTTCACAAATGCATTTGTGTCACCAAATAATACTTATTACAAATAATTTAGATTTATTTTGTTTTAAATACAATTTTATTCATAATATTTGTACCACATCTCTCCGTTGTGGTTTCTTATACACACACATCAATGGGGCTTTCAGAACGGAAGGCACTGTTCCCTGACAGCGTCAAAAAACCCCCTTAAATGGAGCTAATGGGGCAGCCTCCGACACTGGGCCTTTACACAGATTAGACACACGTCGCATCACAACTACAGGCGAGGACAACACAACGCCCACATTCAGATTCCATGTTTGTGTATCTGCGAGGGTTCACCGATTTAATTTTGAGCACTTTCATTCAATGTTTAATTTAAGTGTATTAGGAGTGTTTGGAGACAGAACTAGATACTCTAAAACACTCAGTTGACATCATGATTATTTGAAGAACTGTTGAAATTCTATAGACATTTTTTAATTTTAAATATTAAATTCCGTCTGACCTAAACTCATTCTTAAACTTTACCTTATCTACTTATTATCCTGCACACTAAACTGTACAGTATATAACTGCACTACTACTACATATATATTTTTTAACTGGTATTGAAGCATTTTCAGCATCTACAGCTAGTTAAGAAATGTTAAGAAACATAGCTACTACTTATTTGTATATATTGTGTGTGCTCCCTGTGTGCTCTTACTACTGTCCTGTATGTGCGCTGCAACATCAACATTTCCCCACTGTGGGACAAATAAAGGAATTCTTATCTTATCTTATCTTATTCTCATTATAATGAAATCACTGCACACAGTCATTGGAATTGCAATCTAAAACATAACAAAAGTAACAGAGATTTCTATTAGGTTTCTGAGTTTCCACTGTAGTAAATTACAAAGACATAGGATCACATTGAGTACATTATGTCCTCCAGTTGTGGCAGGGATTTCCTCGGGTGACCCCCTTCTCCTCTGCGTTCTTATCTGTCGGCGCTGAAGCTTGGTTCTCATCCCGTGAATCGATAACCGCTTTAACAGATCTGCAAACTCTTCACAAAACACACACAATGCAATCAAGTGTAAAAGAAGCCATTCTCACATCGGCTCGAACTGACACATCTATTACCATACTCTATGGAGTTTACAGTAAGACCAGTATACAATGGCCAAACCACATTTACTACAATAACTGTTTATCCTTACTGTTGCAAAGATAAACATTTTTTGGACCACAAAGGACCAAAGAACAAGCACTTCAGCCACCTGCTTTTGTCCATTCAGACGTTTGTTGAATTTCACATTAAATATATCTATCCTTGAAACAGTATGTACTGTATACCCCATTCCATTTTTCCCACTTTTTTGTTTATGGAAATTATATACATTCAAGACAGATTGTTCCACCATACCATGTGATGGGTCAGATCTGTGAACAAGAGAGTGGTTAAAAATACGATCACAAACAAAAATGTAATGAATACATTTGCACATGGATTGTAACAAAAAAATAACGCATGGACTTATGAAGCCACAGCCTCTCAAACTCTATTTTCTTGTTGTCAACATATTTTAACGCTGAGAAGGATAGAAACACAACATTGCTTATTATGCCCAGAGCCGTGTTTCACTTGAAACATGATTGTTTTGGTGAAAGACCAGGGAAATCCTCCAGCTGCAAAATGAGACATCACAGAGCTCAGCAGGAGACGTGCTGCTTCTGCGTTAATGTTTGTATTTGATTTTAGCTTTGAGCACATGCTAATTGTTAAATATTCTGTATTTTTAAAATATTTGCTTAACTTGGTTCTTCAAATTCAAAGCAGTCATTCTTACAATGATTTAAACTTGTGAAAATAATTCACTAGATACAAAAATACTAAAGATTTACGAATACTATACAATGGCGCAGTGGTTAGTGTTTGTCCTTCACAGCAACAATGTCCTGGGTTCAATTACTTTCTGTGTGGAGTTTGCATGTTCTCCCTGTGTTTGCCTAGGCTTCCTGTAGGTGCTCGTTTCCCCTACCACAAAAAAAAAAATTACAATGTACAAAAAAAAAAACAATGTACAATAGGTCCTCCTGTTTGGCAACCTTGCTTCCATCACCGTGTGTGCAGTGAGAGAACAAATGCCTACAACAATTGTAAAGGGCTTTGTGAATACTTACTACATACTTCTTACATATTTGAGTCGTGTTGAGTCAAGAGAAGATTAATCACACCAAACACTTGGTGATTGCTTATGTTGACACATATTTTACTTACCCTAATCCTTACCCTTTGTCTTTACAGTTTTCTCCATTTAGTAAAACCGTGCTGGCCTCCTGCTCCTACGACTTCACTGTGAGGTAAGACACGAGTAACAACCAACTAGTTGATTTCTGCCTGTTTACGTTGAGTCACACAATAACTGGGTCCACAGTGAGCTGTACACATTCATTCACTGACTTTCCAAGTCTTGAGAGGACTGAACCAGCCCATAGCAGCTCGCATTCAGATTCAGTGTGTGCCAGGCGTTAGCGTTAAACTATTACTGTAGCCACAGGTCCTCCAATCTGTCACTCACTGTTTTTGGTGCTGGGGTAAATACTCTTTTTTTACCTGCGGTTTGATGCTGCGCTGAACTAATTGATCTAATATTCAGCAAGTGCTCTTAGTGAACTCCTTTGCTTTGATTCGATTAAAAGTACAAGTTCACCTCAGTCCCAGTTTCAAATCCCGTAGTGTGAACGGTGTCCCTCCCGATGTGTGATGTAGATGAGTTCAAAGCAGTTAATAAAGCCGACCATTTCAGGCTCCGCTACCCCGGTGCTTCCTCACACTGTTTAACTGTTCTTCATTTTCATCTAAGAGAGATTTTTCCACAGATTTAATGAGGAACAGAGAATTTAACACTATCCTCAATTCTCTGGCGGAGTGGGCGTGTAATCAGGTCGACATAAGTTATTATATACGTTTCACTCTATATCAATCAATCAATCAATCAAATTTTATTTATAAAGCGCTTTTCATACATAAGATGCAACACAAAGTGCTTTACAGATTGGTTAAAAACAATCCCGCCGACCCAAGACCCCTCCCCCAGACCACCCAACAGACCCCCCCCAAACCACAGACAAACACACACACACGTGCTCATGAACACTCATACACACACACACACACACACACACACACACACACACACACACACACACCAGTAAAACAATAAAAACATGATGAGAGACTTGGCAGGGTTCAGATGCAACCAGCTGAAAAAGCGTCATCCAAGGAGCCGTCTGCACCAGGAGCAGAGAGCCGCCCGTAGCCACAGGGGACGACACAGGACCCAGAGGAGACATGAAACCGAGGCCCCAGGCCCCCACCAGGCCCAAGAGTCCGACCCCCGCAGCCACACCGACCACTGCTCCCGGTGCAGAGGGCTCCTCCAGAGGAAACACTGGGTACACTAAAAACAATACAATAAGTAAAACACTAAAATGTGAGACTAAAAGGAACACACAATACATGAATAATAGCAATAGCAATATAATAAATAATAAATAATAAAAGATAAATAGAATGGAATAATAAAAACTAATCAAAAGCTACTCTAAAAAGGTGCGTCTTGAGCCTACTTTTAAAAATATGAACGTTCTCTGCGGCCCTGAGCTCCTCCGGCAGACTGTTCCAGAGACGGGGGCCGTAGTGCTGGAAAGATGCCTCGCCGTGAGTGTGTGTCCTGACTTTGGGGATGGTTAGGAGTCTGCTGCCGGAGGAGCGCAGGGGCCGGGAAGGTTCATAGGATAAAAGCAAATCTGAAAGATAAGAAGGCCCAAGACCATTAAGACATTTAAAAACCATTAAAAGAACCTTAAAATCGATTCTGAAACACACGGGGAGCCAATGCAGCGATTTTAAAACCGGTGTAATGTGGTCCCGCCCCCTGGTCTTAGTCAGGACACGTGCGGCCGAGTTTTGGAGTAATTGAAGACTTGCAATGTTCTTTTTGGGAAGACCAGAGAGCAGGGCATTACAATAGTCAATGCGACTGGTGATAAAAGCATGCATCAGCGTCTCCGTGTTGCCCCGAGAGAGAATGGGGCGGACTCTGGCGATGTTCTTTAGATGATAAAAACCTATTTTTGTGATACTCTTGATGTGAGGAATAAAAGTCAGCTCAGAGTCAAAGATTACGCCCAGATTTTTCACTTGTGATGATGGATTAAAAGAGTGTGATTGGAGTTTTGATAAAAGTTTCTCTCTCTGGGCCTCAGGACCGATGACTAAAACCTCAGTTTTGTCCTGGTTAAGCTGGAGAAAGTTTTCTGCCATCCAGGATTTCAGGTCTAAAATGCAGTTAAAAAGAGCATCCATTGGCCTGGTGTCATCAGGAGACATGGAGATGTACAGCTGTGTATCATCTGCATAACTGTGGAAGTTAATTCCATGTCTCCTGACGACACCGCCAAGAGGGAGCATGTACAGGTTAAAAAGGACTGGACCTAAAATGGAACCCTGGGGCACACCACATGTGATTTTATGGACCTGAGAGGAGCAGGTATCCAGACTTACCATGAAGGATCTGTCTGTTAAATAAGAAGTGAACCATTTGTGGACAGCACCAGAGAGGCCGAGGTGTTGTAGGCGTGATAAAAGAATTGTGTGGTCTACTGTATCAAAGGCAGCGCTAAGATCCAGTAGAACCAACACAGTCACCTTTTTGAAATCATAACTTAGTCTAAGATCGTTTAAAATCTTTAAAAGAGCAGTCTCTGTGCTGTGGTTCACCCTAAAACCTGATTGAAATTTCTCTAAAATTTGCTGCTGATCTAAAAAGGCATTGAGCTGGGTAAAAACAAGTTTTTCTAAAATTTTGCTTAAAAATGGTAAGTTGGATACCGGTCTGTAGTTGTTAAAATCATTAAAATCTAAATTGCTCTTCTTCAGAAGGGGTCTCACCACAGCCGCTTTGAAGGCTGCAGGAAAGACCCCAGTCTGAAGAGAGCAATTCATCAGGTTTAAAAGCTCCTCTCTAAAAGATTCATAAAATGACTTAAAAAATGGAGTGGGGACTGGATCTAAAAGACATGTGGTGGGCCTCACTGAGGAGAAAACTTTATCAAGCATCTCAGCATCAACCAGGACAAAACTGTCCAGTGTTTCCTCTGGCGAAGACAAACAATCAGATGTGTTAAAAACAGTAGTGCGGTTGGATAAAATGTTACATCTGATTGTATTTATCTTCCCCGTGAAGTGGACTGCAAAATCCTCACAGAGGGAGTCTGTGGGGGTTAAAAGAGACATGCTAAAATCAGGGTTTAAAATGGTGTCGATGGTTGAAAAAAGGATTTTTGGATTATTTTTGTTCTGGGTGATTAGATTTGCAAAGTATTTGTTCTTATGATTTCTAATTGTGTAATTGTATGCTTTTTGATTGTTTTTATATATTTCGTAGTTGATTGTTGTTTTATTTTTCCTCCATCTTCGTTCTGCCACCCTGCACTCTTGTTTCATTTTGCGTACTTCTTCATTTCTCCATGGGGGTGCAGATTTTGTTTTTATGATTTTTGTTTTTAAAGGAGCCACCTGATCCAACGCAGAACTAAGTCTACTGTTTAAAATCATTTGCTATAAAATCACAGGGGGCAGGTAAAACCAAGTGGGGAGTGTTGTTTAGGATGTCGATGAAATTTGCAGCCACTTCAGGGGTTAGATGTCGCTTCCTCACGGTTCTCACAGAGGTCTCACGCTGAATAAAACCAGTGATGTTAAAAAAACACACAGTAGTGGTCCGAGACAGCCAAGTCGACAACAGAGGACACATCCGCAGTCAGGCCATAGGTAATAACCAGGTCGAGGGTGCGTCCCCTGTTGTGTGTTGGCTGTCTGACGTGTTGGGTAAAATCCATGTAATTAAGAACATCTAAGAAATCTAGGGTAGAATTGTCAGAGGGATTGTCAATGTGTATGTTAAAATCACCGGTTAAAATTATCATATTGTAAGAATTGTGTAACTGTGATAATAACGCTGAGAATTCAATAATAAAAAGGCTGCACTTTTTAGGTGGCCTATAAATAATTACTGTTAAAATTTTGGGGTTGCTAAAAACAAGAGAGTGGTACTCAAAACTTGAGTATTGGTTAAAAACAATAGGTTTGGTGGCCAGGGTGTTACTGCATATTGAGGCTGTGCCGCCACCTCTCTTTCCTTCTCTTGTTTTAAAAGCAAAGTTAAAATTGGGGGGGGAGGCCTCTGTAAGAACAGCCGGAGCATCCGGACCCAGCCAGGTCTCAGTTAAAAACATACCATCCAGCTCATGTTCTAAAATCAAATCATTAACAGTAAAAGTCTTATTTAAAAGGGAGCGTACATTTAAAAGGGCAAACCTGATGGTAGATGGGTTGTTATTGTTGATGGGGAGTCCATAGTTCGAAGTGGGGGGAGCAGAGGATGAGAGAGGGCAGGGGGAAACAGTGATGAGGTTGGTGAAGGACGGTTTCCTGGGTATGGACGGTCTGTAGGGGCGGGGTCTGGACAAAACTGTAATTTTGTGCTGGGGAAGAGAGCAGGGGTTGATGCTGGGGCACAGACGGGCAGGAGGGATGTGGGATGTGGGGGTGGGTTGTCAGAGGTATGTAGGATGGGATTGGACTGCGTGGGTGATGTTGGAGATCAGGTACCGGTTGCCAAGTGGGTTGATGTGAAGTCCGTCGGGTGTGAAGAAGGGGTAGCGGTTCCAGAACAGATTAAAATTGTCTATAAAACCAAAGTTGTGATGGAGTGATGTTTGATTGAGCCAGGTGTTGAGTGATAAAATCCTGCTAAAACGCTCCCTGCCGCGGTTCATAGTGGGCAGAGGACCGGAGATAAAAACAGTTTTCCCTGAGTTTGATAAAAGGTTAAAAAGATCCTTAAAATGGCGTTTTGTGGTCTCGGATTGGCGGAGTGAAGCGTCATTTGTGCCGACATGAATTATGATCCGGGTTATTGTGGAGGGTGCTGTCTGAATAAGTGCGGGTAGTTTAATGAGGATGGTGGGGACTGTGGCTCCAGAAAAACAGTGTGTGATGGCATTAAAAAACTTGCAGTGTCTGATAATAGAATCCCCCACCAGGAGCGTGGTTGGTGCAAACAGAGGCCGCGGAGGGGAGGGTGTGACTGGGGTGGGACCTGGTGGAGAGCAGGGGACAGGAGAGCCTTGGGGGGTGCCCGGAGCGGAGCCGCCACGAGTGGCTGTGGAGCAGGGTGGAGGATCCGGAGACCGAACTGACTCCACTGTGGCCGGGTTGGTGGTGGTGGTAGTGTGGGCGAATGTGGGAGGGCCGCGCACCGGGCGGGGGGATCCACCAGGAGGCGAGGTGGCATCTGC